CATCAGCTTTCTTCACCACATTTACTTATGCACCCACTTTGTCTTCAGCGATTGTGTCAGGAAGGTGAACATCACAGAATGCCAGGTTATTAGAACTTTGTCCTTGTGTTGAGGGAATACTTGAGTAGAGGTCCAATGTCCATCTGCTACCTTAATACTTAACATATAAATATATGTACATAGATCTATTTCCCTATCACTACATATAAATATATTGACATATGTACATGCCTGTATTTAGACCTCTATAAATATCCTTTGCCTCCTAGTTTTTCCCTCTATTTCCTTTTACTTTCCTCTTGTCCCACTATTGTGTTCAACCTTCATTCGGGTTTCAGTAATTCCTCTCTGCTACATTGCCCTTGATCAAGCCCCACCAGGCATTCTCTGCACCTCCCCGCCATCGATTTTAGATCACTTCTGGTTCCACACTTTGATCTTTTTAATCCCTCCCCAATCATTTCAGTGATGCTTTGTGAATCTGGTCAAGTTTACTGAGTTTGTTTCAAAGCTACATGTCAAGATACTTTATGACTTTGATCTTATCTAATTCTGAGAAATCTCATGGCTTCACACATTTCCTCTGTAGATAAAATGCTTCCAAACATTTTGGAACTGTAATTTGGAAGCACTTACATGGAGAGGGATTAGATTTTCCAATCACAGTAGAGACTAATTTTAAACTCAGATGAATCATTTGAAGACAGGCTTACAAATGCTTCCTGGGGCAGCCCTGGATTTGGGCCTGGGATGTTTACAGTGCAAAATAGTAGCATCAAGAGTCAAGTCCCCAGTTACCTCCCGAATGGCCCATAGAGAACTCCCTCAGAATGGCAGCCACCCTGGTCTGTCTGGTTCAATTATTCAAGTCATGATGACTTAGAAATGATGTGACAAAGAACACTGTTGTCACGATTGGAATTATAATCGTGACCAAGCCTAGGGTAAATACCTTCCAAGATAGATTGCTATCTTCCCAAATGTCTCAATGATTGGTTTCTTATTCTTTCTGTGGTTCTCAAACATTGGTGTCTGTCTTAGTCAAGGTTGTCTGTATAAACTGAAACCTGTAAGATGCATACACACGCAGAGAAAAAGATTTATAGGTCAGACGGCAGGGACAGTACAGAGTTGAGAGAAAGAGAACCAGTTGAGTCAAAATATCTATTTATAGTCTGAAACAGAAGTACCCAGAATTATTTGGCCTACTGCCCATTTTCAGGGGAAAAATTACTCAGCACCCACTGGCAATTAAAAGCTTATAGGGTATCCTATAGGCCAGAATAAAATGTAGCTAATCTACTTTTGTAGCCCCCACCCCCCAACCTGGATAATTCCAGCACCTGCCAGGAGGTAGTATCACCCACTTTGAGAAGCACTGGTCTGAAATAAATCCACTCACTAAGGAAGTGGTTGATGACATTGTATGACATAATGGAAAAGCAATCGTATCACATGACATTAGATTTGCCTTATGAAACAGGAATCAGCTAGTGTTTGCTAAAATTACCAGGAACCATTGCCTTGCAACTTGATTCATAATATTCACCACCATCGGTTGTGTTCTTCAGAAGTAAAAGGCAGAGTCCTCTGACATGTATGTATTAGATCGTCCTCCCAGGGAACACTCTACACTGGTAGGGAAGCGAGGAAGTGAGACTAGAGAAGCAAACATGGTAATAAAATCCCATGTGGTAATGCTGGGTCAATTCCTGTGGGCCATTCTAGAGACAGTGCTGAGCACTTCTTAGAGTTGTCCTGATCAGAGGGCTGTGTAGCTACAGAATCTATATTTCAGGACACATGAGTATTGTACATCTCCAGACATTCTTTAAGTGCCAGGCACAAAGGCCTCCCCCACCCCCCAGAGTAGCCTACCCATAAAGAAACACAGGCCATGGCCATTGGTGACGAAGTCAGCAGTAGCCCAGGTGCACAGAAAAGAAGAATAAGCAGAATATAGTGTCTGTTGTCAACCTCCCAGAGTCTCCGGAGGAACTTGTTGAGAATTCCGAGGCACAAGCCCTAACGTAAGCCTAAGGAAAACAGTGTCTCTGAAAGGAGAGGCTGGGCAGGTGCATTTTAATAAGCTCCTCCAATGACTTCATGCCAGTGCATTTGAGAACCACTGCAGTAGGCAGGTTTTTCATGGTTCTAGGATCTGATTGCCAACTTGGCAGTTGTGCAACACTCACAGATCTGAAAGCCCATCTACATTTATGTAGTGACCTTTATATCCACCGACTCTTGACATTTTGTAGGTGTCCAATGTATTCGATCGAATTTCATTAAATTAAGGGGAGATACACGCGAACCAAACTTTTTTAAAAAGATGTATAGAAAAAGAACCACAATTGTTTTATAGCTATGAGTAGTATCAATGCCCAAGGAGCACACAAGTTTTCTAATACATTCTGCAGTCATGCCAACTAGAAGACAAATTAGAATCCAAAGAGTCACTTCCACAGTGGCTCATGCCTTCTGACTCTTGAGAGGGAGCTTCTCCCTTATCTCCTCCTACAGATAAGGTTGATTTTATTCCATTCAGTGAGAACTGTGTGTATAGTCACCATTTGCATTGTTGAAAAAAGATATTTGCAATGAGTAACTCATTGGTCTTGAAAATTTTTATCACATGTTCTCCAGCATCATTTCTATCACCAAGACCTTATTTTCCAACAATTGATCATTCTTCTTTGCTTCCAACTTACACATTCCACTCATCATTAATTATCAAAACACCTTAAGTGTATGCTTGATCAATGTCCGATTGCAGAAGTTGATAGAAATACTTTTGTTTCCCATCTTTAGCATTAGCTGCTGGTGTGAAAAGTTGAATAATAGTCATATTATTGATCTTACCTGTAGGCATGTGGATATTATTTTATCACTGACAGCCTTGTGGTTCAGTTTAGATCTTGAAATGTTCTTTGTAATGGTGAATGTGATGCCATTCTGTTCAATTTGTCATTCCCAGCAGGGTAGCCTATATGATTATTCTATTCAGAAGGGCCAATGCCAGTCTATCTCAGGTCACTAATGCCTAGGATATCAATCTTCCGGCATTCCATTTCATTTTTGACAATTTCCAGTTTCTCTGGATTTATAGTTTGCACATTCCAAGATTAATAATGCATGTTTGCAGCTGCTCTTTCTCATTTTGTGTCACTCCATATCAACACATAAAGGTTCAGAAATTTTTACTCCATCCACGCTCTCAAAGTCAACTTGACTTTGAGTCAACTCGGCATTTCCTCAGTTGTATTTTGAGTACTTTCCAACCTGAGAAAGCGCCCTGTCGGCACTGTCGGGTAAGTATTGGACCACAACGCTCACATTCAGATCCCAGCTGCTCTGCAGGAGAAAGATGAAGCTATCTGCTGGTAAAGATTGATTGTCCCGGAAAGCCTATATGAAGTCGCTGTGAAATGGAACAGGTTCAATGGCAGCAGGCTTTGGGTGGAGGGGGCGGTGGACGTTTTTCAACCTGAGAGCCTCATCTTCTGGCACGTTATCACTGTTCTGCTTCTTTCCTAAGGTGTTCACTGGCCTTTTGCCAGGTCTTTTTTCCTGTTTTCATTCTTCCTATGCTGGAAGTCTCACTGAATCTTCTCCATGGGTCAGCCTGCTGCTATCTGAACTATCAGGGAAATGGTTTTTTTTTTTTTTAGCAGCAAGCAGCAAGCAAGACACCACCGGGTGACAAACTGACCAATGCGTGGTAGAACATGTGGTTAACAACTGTCACATTGATCAGCATAGCTCTAGATAGGATTTTAATGGACATTGCCAGGGTGACTGACATACTGTGCCTCACTGTTCTCGCCTTCATTGTTAATACCATTGCCTTCCTTCAGCTAGGCAGCTAATGTTTATTTATGAATTATGTAAATGAATTTGTTCTGGCTACTTTCAAGTTTTGCTGACTTGGAATTAGCCCTGTCTTTTGCAAATAACTTTGATAATCTTTACCCCAAATGATAAAATTTGGATTAATGATGGAATTGATTTCAAAGTATTTATGTTATCTTGTGGAAGTCTAGCATATAAAACCCCAGGCCATTCAGTCAATTCTGACACATAGCAATGCTATAGAATAGAGTAGACTGTTACCTAAGTTTTCCAAGACTATCAATCTTTCCAGGGACAGACAGCTTCATCTTTCTTCCAGGGCAGTTGGCGGTTTGAGTCAATTAGCAACACAGGGCTAATTGATCCAGAAAAAGGTCTCTCTTCTTGGAGGTAACATGGAGGCCTGAAAAGGTATAGAGTGAAAGATGGATTTGTATTCCGATTTTGAAGTTAGTTACTGCAGAATCTGTACATGTTGCTAATTTTTCTGAGACTCCAATGCCATTTGATAGGCGCTAACTACTTACCTATGAGTTGTTTTCTAAAAGGTAAATGAAACAATTTATGTAGTGTGACTGGCCAGAGGACATGTCCTTCAAATGTTAGTTTCTTACCCCAACTTTCTTATGTGTTGATTTCATGGTTTAGTTCTCAGGGTCAGCCTAACCCTTGACATTTCTATTTGCTTACGGAACAATTCTCCTAAGATCTGTCAAGAGCTATACATTTGCCAAAAGGCTAACAGGGTAAAACAAAACAAACAAACAAACAAAAACTGCGGTGGCCACATGATCTTCAGGCATTGTAAAGATTCACGTACTAAGTCAGTTAATCGTATAACTGGCCTATCATCTACAATTATGCTCTTCTTTCCACCAAATTTGGATGAGTAGCTACATAGAGTAATAGACAGACAATAAAGAAAGTTCTAGTACTTAAAAATATATAGAATCTTCTTCATGAATGAAAGAACATGAAGAGTCCTCTTATTTAATAAGACCGTGTGGCAATATTAGAATGTACCAGGCCTGGACTGGTTTCCGGGGCAGAGTGGAGAATAAGACATCCCCTCACCTCATGAAGCTGTCACCAGAAGTAGACGGCAGGCTGCACTTCTGAGCAAACGTGTGAGACCAGTTCAGAGAGTGGTGAGACCAGCAAGAAAATGAACAGGCCAATGGAATAGACGAGTGCTGCTGTGCTTCGACTGTAGGGAAGGGAAGGTCTTGTGATGAACTGACATTTGAGTTGACATATCGACCGTGGGAAGGGATCTCTCAGGAATATATGTGTGTAGGCAAACTTCGAACCAAACCCATCGACTTGGTTCAGAGTCCTAGTCACCCTCTGATGTTAGTTTCTTACCCCAACTAGTACCGAGTGGGGTTGCTCTGTGGGGGTTTCTGAGGCTGTGAATCTTGACCGAATTACACCCCTTCATCTTTCTACCACAGAATAGCTGGCTGCTTCAAATTGTGGCCATTTGAGTTAGTGCCCCACTGTGTTAGCGGGGCTCCTATTGGAGTAAGAAAGAGGGAAAGTTCCAGGAGGAGCGAGAGGCAAGTGCAAAGGCCCTGGGGCATAGTCTGAGAACAGGGAGGAACCCAGTCTCCTTAGAGCACGGTTAGTGATGTTAGGAGTGGCAGGAAATAGGGACAGTGAGGAAAACAGTGGTCCAAAATAGGCCAATTTTGGATATTCAAGTTCTAACACAGTGAGCAAGTATTTAAGTAGATTGTTACTTAAGTGCATTACATAGTTAAGGTAAGTTTATTTATTTTTATTTTTATAAAAAAGTAAGTTGAGTTTTATTTTTCTAGGAGTATTTATTTTATAAACTTATTATTTATTTATTATTATTTAAGCAAGGTTATGATTTAAGTAGCAGAGTAATTCAATCTGATTTGGGCTTTTATCTATATCTATATCTATCTATAAATATAAATATGGCTGCTCTGGGAAGAGGTTGTTGGAGAAATAAGATGAGAGCGTCCTCAGTTCCGTCCCAATTCTTGGGTAATGATAAGTTATAAACTATCTACGAAGGTAAGTTTTAAGAAATGCTACTTACTTTAGAGCCTGAAGAATTGGGAAAATGAGCCTGACTCTTCAACTTACTGGCCGTGAACCTGACACAAACCCCTAGACCTTGCTCTACTTCCGTGTCGCACCTATTGTGCTTAATGGGCATGCATGTGTTCGACATGACCTCTCCTGGCTCTATGCCAACGAGGAGTCGTGCTTCACCTCCACAGCCTCCTCGGGCTCCTCCGGGCACGTCTTGCTCAGTTCTCTCTAGATTTGCTGGTGACACTTTCCTTTCTGTTTGCAGGCTGTGTGGACACAGACGAGGGCGATCTCTATTTCCTCATCGATGGTTCAGGCAGCATCCGGAAAGAACAGTTCATGGAAATCAAGGAGTTTATGTCGGAGGTGACAAACATGTTCAGTATTGGCCCAGATAGAATCCGAGTTGGAGCTGCACAGTTCTCGGACGAGTGTACACTGGAATTTGATATCGACAGCTATTCTAATAATGTTGACGTAAGGAAGGCTGTTTTTAACCTCAAGCAGAAAAAGGGTCGTACTTTCACGGGCCAGGCTCTGACTTTTATGCAGCAAGTGATAAAGGAGGGACGGAAGCACCGCTTCTCTGCCATTCCCACCTACCTCATTGTGCTGACTGACGGGAAGTCCGATGATCGGGTCCTGGAGCCTGCACAGAGCCTAAGGGCCGAAGGGACCATCATCTATGCCGTTGGCATTGGAGCGGCCATTAAGAGAGAGCTGAGTGAAATTGCTGGGGTAGAAGAAAGGGTTAGCTATGGGAAGAACTTTGATTCTCTCAAAAGTATAAAGAATGAAGTCGTTCACAGCATCTGCACTCAGAAGGGTAAGCAAATCAAGACAGACTCTGTGCTCCACATTTCACCAGGCCCACTCATGGCCAGCTTGAGACAAGGCACACTGTGACCGGTGGCCTGGTTAATGGCCCCCCTCCACAACTAAGCTACCATGCAGGGGTGAAGCCTCTGCCATCGTTGGAGAATCCCTCTAAAGACAGGGGGAAAGTGGCTCAAATGATGAGTCTTGACAAAGTCTACTGCTGTGGAGTATGAGACTATTCTGTGTGTGTGTGTGTGTGTGTGTGTGTGCACAGACATGCATGCTTTGAAGGCAAATTGGGGGAAAATGGACTCTGGATATCAATAGCTAAGGGTTCAGCTTATTTTTTTTTTGCTTGATCTTCAAACTTCTTCAGCTATGAAATGGGGATACAACCTATGTCAGAGAACCCTGATAGGCTTAACGTAACAGACACCAGCCAGATGCTATACTACGAACCGCATTTAGAATAGATAGAACCATGGTTTATGTTGATTTATAACAGAAACACACATTCACATTTGGGTTCTGATGAAAGTTTAAATACCAAAATGTAGGCGAAAACTTAGGAAATTTCTGGTTGTTTTTTATAAGAAAACTGACCAACTGCCGTCACGTTGTTCCCAACTCTCGGGTGCAGAGTAGAGCTGCCCTCCACAGCATTCCCCAAGCTGTGAACTTCCTGAAGCAGGTCACCAGGCCTTCTCCACCAAACTTTCTAAACCCTGCCTCCTGCCCAATCTGCTGTTCTCACCACTCCATCTGATTTGGTTCTAATACCAGTGGTTTATTTTCCCAGTCTCCCAAGTTTTAGCTTCTTAGTTTATCTGAATCTCTGTTCTTAGTTTATCTGTTCAGAGAGTAGGTTACATTGCTATACAAATGATGTACAATGATGTCAACAATACAGAATATTATTTCTCTCTTATGGAATCGTTCAAGTGAGCAATCCAGCTGTATTAGAGATGTAGTTTCATCCTTGACAGATAGCTTCTATCTTTAGTCAAAATGGAACAATGTCCCCCCCTTCTCATCTCCTCCAAGGGAAGAAGAGCCCTCATATTCAATAATGTTCACAGTAAGGCCCTGCATGAGCCTAGTCACTCCTGCGCATTTCTATTGGTCAAAACATAGTCACGTGGCCACATCGAGCCTCATGGGGCGACTAGGAAAAGTAATCTTCCACTGGGTAGCCGTCGGCCTAGCTGAAACTGTCTAACCAAATAAGAATGGGATAACAACAGATATTAGTGAAGTTGTTTGTATAGATCCTGCTGCAACGGCTAAACCACATGCCAAAATCTATTTCACGGGAAAGAGAGTCTTCTACAGCAGTGATGTAGAAGCCCCCCCAAATGCTCAGTGACTCCCTAGTTCTCATTGTCAAGATGACTCTAAGATAAACCGGGTCTTAAAGTGGTGGCTTTTTGCCCCGGTGGTTCATTGAGTCACATGTTGGCCAGCTAATGACAAAGTCGGCGATTCAAATGCAGCCGGTGTCCCAGGGATGAAAGATGAGGCTGCCTGCTCCCCTCAAGATCTAAAGTCTCAGAAGCCTGGGGAGCAGTTCTACTCTGAACAACAGGCCTGCTGAGAGTCAGAATGAATTTGACGGCGGTGAGCAGTGGGTTGGTGGATATCTGGTATGAATTGACACCGATTATTAAAAAAAGTAATGCCTTTCATATTTGTATGGCCAAGATTACTTGTCTATTTTTAAATAATATAAGAGAGACAATGTGAGTAGTGAGGGAGGGACCCGTTAGAAGGACGGCAGAGACAAGACAGGAGAACAAATGGAAGGTGATGAAATAACTACACGGTAAAAGAGAACATGTTTGCTGCACGTATCTCCCATGGGAGCAGAGAACTGGTTACTTTGGCTCTGATTCCTTTTTTGAGCCCCACTGCATCCTAAATGCATGAATAGATACTTGGAGTTTCATGTGCCTTCCAACATTGTGAAGGAAGGAATGCGAGGTGAATGGAGACACTCTTTCGAAGTTGCGTTTCCTCTGTGAAGCCCTTGAATTAAACAGACTTCTGATTTGCGGTGTTAATCAGCAGGCTCCTACTGAAGAAGTAAATAAAATGTTCCAAGGCTTGCATTATTTTTTACATCTTATTTAACTTTTTAACTGTGAATTAGGTGGAGGTTTACAGAGCAGATTATCAATTTTACATTGAACAGTTCATCAAACCTCCCAGTGTCTTGCTCTGTTTTGATCATTTTTTTGGTCCACCTCCCTCTGATTGAATATTATTGGATATTAACATCCCCCTTCGTCCAAGTTCACACCTGTATACCCACTGGCCTGTGGCTTCCCCTGTCCTCCCTTCCTCCAGCTGATAGTCATCAGAGTGCTACTTGTAGAGTGAACGCTTTTCTTGACTTTCTTGTAACAGTGATCTCGTACAATTGTTGTCCTTTGGTGTTGGACCAATTCCGCTCAGCATAATGCTCTCCAGGTTCATTTATGTCAGGAGGTGCTTGAGGTAATTTTGTATGTTTGCTGACTCCTGCATTTATTTCCATGTCACTGCAGCTACATGTTCTGAGAAGCCATGCCAAACTCATTCTTTTCTATTCCTTTTTTACAACACGCAGAATGTGAAGACATGAAGGCTGACATCATGTTTCTGGTGGATAGTTCTGGAAGTATAGGACAAGACAATCATGGGACAATGAAAACTTTCATTAAAAACCTGCTAAATAGGATCCAAATTGGTCCCAGCAAAACGCAAATCGGACTTGTTCAGTTCAGTGACAACATCAGAGAAGAGTTCCCCCTTAATAAATACTTTTCCCATCAAGACATTTCTGGTGTGGTAGACTCAATGCTTCTTATAGGTAGAAACACGCTAACTGGCCATGCCCTGGACTCCACCTCTCCTTACTTCACCTCCGCCAGAGGAAGCCGTCCTAAGGTTAAAAAGTTTCTCATCCTCATCACAGATGGGGAAGCACAAGACAGTGTGCTAGAACCTGCTCAAAGGCTTCGGGACCAAGGTGTGATCATCTTCTCTGTAGGGGTGTTTGGGGCCAACCGAACCCAGTTAGAGGAGATTAGTGGGGATGGCAAGCTGGTTTTCCAGGTGGAGAAGTTTGAAGATCTGAAGGCCATCGAAAGCGAACTCATCTTTCGGGTGTGCACCGTTGACGGTAAGTGACCCTGCTGCCCGTTGGGACTCCCGGGTGTGGGGTGTGCTTTCCTCCGGACTTGACCTCTCTCTAGATTTGACTATTTCAAGAAAGTCGGGCATAACTGGATTTTACAAAGCTGGTTTTAATCCCATATGATTGTCCAGCGTCACTTCCCAGCTACCTCAAGCCACCATTCCACCGTTAATAATAAGAACTACAAATTCATCCTCCTTTTAGTCAAATTCGTAGAATTCTCTCGTTCCAAACGGCTTCCCTTTGGTTTAAAAGATTTGTTGTGTTATTAGTTGCAGAGAGTCAACTCTGATTCATGACAATCCTGTGTCATAGGACAAAATGTTGCCCGGTTTCTCTGTAAGACAGGCGTATTTTCATTACTTCACATTATTATTCTTACCCTCTGCCAACTAGGTATTTTATATTTGCCAGTATGTGCCTGGATGGTAATGACCGACACATGTACAAGGAAATATATAAATTTCCTTTGGGTATTTTTGGTTGGTCGCCTTTTCCCCCTGAATGTTTGGTGGCTGTCACTTTTTAATCTCACTCGTTATATTGCTTTTCAAATTGTGTCAAGCAGCCTTCACTGTGAGCACAGCATTCATTACGGGCTCTTGAAAGAGAATTTGCTATAAATCCACACAGACCACCCCTAAGCCCCCACAAACCCAAACTGCGCTTTTAAATCTATCATGGTGCCCATTGGAGAATGATTGATATGAGATTTTCAGAACGTCTCATAGTGAACCCTGAATTTTAACAACATCCCTAAGATTTGTCTTGTGGCAGCTTAATTAGAGCTTTTTCTTCCTCCAGAAGAGAAGTGAGGGGAGACGGGGGGAGGGAGGGAATCGGGGAGCTAATAACAATGAGCACACGCACGAAGAAATGTTCTAGAACTGATTGTGGTGATGATTATGCAACACTTCCAGGTGTGATTGAACGATTGCATGGAAATTTGGGAAAGAACGGAAACCTTAATCATATTGAGACATGCCAAGAAACCTGGACTTTGAGGCTACAGTGCCACCTTCAAAGGCAGCAGGGCTCTCCCGGGCGCCTCTTCATTTGGGTAAACGTAGTGTCTTGAAGGCCCCGTCTATAACACAGGCACGGTCAGGGCAAAACTGAAATTTCAGCTGACCACTTCATTAGCTAAACTCATAAATATTTATCAAGTCAGGAGTAGCCCCCACAGGTCAGAGGGCCCCCAGTTGCTGAAGATATCGTCTGGGTTCATTGATTGTACCTGAAAGTTGAAAATCAGAGGCTTCATGGCCGTACTGCAGGGCGGGGGTAAATTTACCAAGTGGAAAATAGAGAATGTGACATGGCAGAAGGCATGTGCTCAGGTCGTTGAGAGAACACAAAAAGGGGGAAAGAGAAGCCCACCATTTGGAGACTCAGCCCGAGCAGCGGCTTGTCTTCTGATAGACAGGAAGGTTTGCAGCTACAGCCGAGGTGATAAGAGCCTTAGCTCTCCCCTCCTTGGGAGGGCTCCTTTCTGAGGTGGGTTCAGGCAGCCAGGAAAAGGGGCACATGGTAAGGTTAGGTCCTACAGCACTTCCAGAGAGAGCTGGAGTGACAGGTAGTAGGATAGAAGCCAGCTTATTCTACGAACTCCCCAGCTCTTGAACATAGAAGATCCGTTGGTGAGCACCAGACGTGTCTCTCCAGCATATTAGCATACCGCCTTCTGCCAGTTTCGTTCAGATGAAAGCCTTCTCAGCAAAAGGCACACCCTAGAGAGATGCTGCAGTGCAGAGTGGTGTGACATAAGGGCCACCGAATCTGAAATCACGTAGCGAAGGCGACGCACGTCGCTGAGCAAGTGGCACCGTCAGCCTGGTGCTCAGTGAAATGGTGACAGGTGCTCTGGGAACGGAAGGAGATGCCATCTCTGCCCATTGCTGGCTCCTCTTCTCGGCAGTCTTTAGCGAATGCACTCCACCCAGCGTGCGTGCTTTGTGCTTTCTCGTCCTTGCAGAGTGTAAAGGGATCCAGCTGCTGGACGTTGTGTTTGTGCTGGACAATTCAGGCAGCATCAGTGAAGAACAGCTACAAAGCATGATGAACCTGACCATCCACTTGGTGGAGAAGGCGAATGTTGCCAGCGACCGGGTCCAGTTTGGAGCTCTGAAATACTCGGACCATCCCGAGACTCTGTTCTACCTGAATACCTACTCAAGCAGAAAGGGGATAACTGAGAATCTGCGGAGGCGCAGGGCCACTGGCGGGTCGACCTACACGGCCAAGGCCCTCGATTACTCCAACACCCTGTTCACGGAGGAACATGGCAGCCGCCTCCGACAAGGCGTGAAGCAGATCCTGATCATCATCACCGACGGGGTATCCCACGATCGGGACCATCTCAACCACACGGCCTTGAAGCTGAGAGAGAAGGGGATCACCATCTACGCAGTGGGCGTGGGAAAGGCCGACAGAGATGAGCTGGAGATGATGGCAGGGAGTAAGGAGAATGCTATTCACGTGGAAAATTTCGACAAACTGAAAGATATTCACCAGCTTCTCCGAGACAGTCTGTGTGAAGTTTCCCCCGAGGGTACGTGGCTGTTTATGTATTTACGTGTTTGTTTTGTCATTCTTTTGTGGTTGAGCGTAGGCAGCATGGCCACTGTGTCCATCACGTAGGGTCTGTATAATTCTGTGACACGGATTCCGTTCTTGAACTTGGGTAGTCATTCGGGAACCTGCTCCTTCCCCCGGTGGTTTCTCCACCGTGCCCTTGAACTCACTTCGCTCAGAGGCTCCTACCTAATCTTCCCAGTTGCGGTTGTCAGGCTAAAGGCGGGAGCGAGAGGCCCTGACTGAGGACAGGGCTCAAGACAGTCTGGACCAGCTAAGCTAGACCTACTGAGGGGTTTTTAAGGAAAGCTTCGGGGGATATTTTTGCCTTAAAGTTCTTTCTCTTTCCCCCCCAACTTTCTATTTAAAGTTTCTAGAGGGTACGTTGGGAGACCTGGTGGCCTGGTGGTTATCAGTCGGGCTGTTAGCTTGTGAAACCAGCAGTTGGAAACCACCAAGCTTTTCCCAGAGACAAAGAGGAAGCTTTCTCCTCCCAGAAAGTGTCCCAGTCCCAGAAACCCACAGGGCATGTTCTATCCCATCCTATAGAGTCACCATGAACCAGAATCAACTCTATAGCAGTATGCTTTAAGGGTGGTTATAAAAGCTTCATAAAACAATTTTTTTTAATGGCAAGGTTTAGCTTCCCATTATTTGAGGGGTCGTGAGCTGAATCTGCCCCTCCTCAGGGTACCAGTTTTCTTGTCTTTAAAGGAAGGTCCCTTTCCACCCTAACGTGTGTTGAAAAGATTATACAAGAAAAGTTCAGAAGTATTTCTTGCTATTTTCCCACACCCTTGCCTTTTTCTGGACAGGAAGGCACTTTTCTAAGGGTCATACTCTCCTTACCCCCTTGCACAACCAGCTACTCCTGGCCTTGTGCAGCCCCAGGCGCCAGCTTCAGGCCATTCTCAAGCGGTGAGTTTTACGATGTAAACCATAGGTTCCCACACGTTTCAGGGAAAAAAAGAAAAGGAAAGGAAGAAATGACTCCGCATTCCCCTGGCAATTAAAAATGTTTGTGCTACAGCCCAGAATATAGTATAAAGTGTAGATTTCTGCTTCAGCAGCCCCTGTCCCAGTCCCCCATGGTTCCAGGGTCCTCTGAGGGGGGTGGAGGGGGTGGAGGGGGTGGAGGTAATATCGCCCATTTTGAGCAACTGGTCCAAACAAATGGATTTTTTTCTCTGAAGACCCTAGGGCTTCTACATGAGATTATAGGCTCTGAGGAGGTGAAAGGTTTTAACCACTAGCTCCTGCCTAGGAGAAAGATGTGGCAGCTAGCTTCCATTAAGACTTAGAGTCTTGGAAACTATTGGGCAATAAGGGGACACTAGGAGCCATAATTGACTCAATGGCCGTGAGCCGGCAGCATAGTTGCATAGCAAGTTTGAATGGTTGAGTAAGGATTTCCAGCTAAGTGCCACGAGTCCAGAGTATTGAATATGGAAGTTTAAAGTGTGGGGTAATAAAGATTGGCTACTAGGATCAGCGAGGGAAGGGATCAGCTGACTACATGAGGTACCACTAGGGTCGGGAAATCTGAAGGTATCCCATCTGAGTGACAAAAGAATGAGAATTGCCTTCTGCTCTGAAAAGCAGAAATGGGCAAGAAGTGAGCTGAGGAGGACTTCAGTCTTTCTTTCCTTGGATGGCCTCACCTCTACATCAGTGTTTCCCAAAGTGGACTATACTGCCCCCTGGAGGTGCTGGAAGGATCCAAGGGAGCTGCATAAGCAGATACCTACACTTTATCCTGGATTACGAGCTCCAGTACTAAACCTTTTCATTGCAAGGGGACCCTGAGGAACTATTTTTTTTCTCTGACAAAAGGACGGTAGGCCAAATACATCTGGGAACTTATACAATCCTTGGCTAACCTTAGTACATTCCTCCAAACCTGACAAATTAATCAGCGTCACCCCTTCCTGCTTCCCTCCTTCCCTCCCTCTCCTCGTTCTTCTCGCCCCTATATTCCTCTCCTGCTTTCTTACTTCCTCTCTGGCAACACAAAACCCTTCTTTGCATCCAGATAAATCCAACTCCTACAGCTGACATTCATCCACTCTCGTCATTGTCCCCAGACAAACCCCAAAGTCTTCCCTGTCATCCAACATCAGATCAGCATCTTCTTTGTTCAGTGAAA